GACCCGCCCCGCTTCTCGGTGAGACAAGCTGGAAAGGGCCCAGGGGTCATTTCTGACCATGAACTCATCTTTGCTTTTATGGGTTTTTTTTGTTTGTTTGTTTTTTAGATTTTGTTGTTGTCGTTGTTGTGTTTTTTGTTTGTGTTTGAGCAGAAAATTCTGGTTCATTTGGAGCTACGTACTTCGGCAAAAGTGTCATCAGACCATCCAGTTACCTGCGCTGTTCTTTTTTTTTAAGATTTTATGTAGTTATTTGGCAGGGATCACAAGTAGGCAGAGAAGCAGGCAGAGAGAGGGGCGGAAGCAGGCTCCCCGCTGAGCAGAGAGCCCGATGTGGGGCTCGATCCCGGGACCCTGGGATACCTGCGCTGTTCTTGACCTGGTCGCTGTCTAACTTTTTTTGCTGCTGCTGATCTGGCCTTGTCTTTCTTCTGGTTCCTTCAGTTTGCCTCCTTTTGTTCCCCTGGCAGCCTGACTTGTGTTTGATAACTGACTGCGTGCATGTGTGCGTGTGTGTTTCTGTGGCACACACGTGTTTCGGGGCAGCAAACATCTTTCCTTCTCTCTGCATTAAACCAGACTGTATTTTAGGTGTTACGACGGCTGTGTTCTCTGCAGCCCTCCCTTGCCCTGGCTCCTGGTCTGCTTTCAGCAGACAGGGTGGGACCTCAAGACTTCACTCTGAGCCTCTGACACAAGTGGGAATCCTTGGGTTTGCTGGAAAACTTCCGCTGTTATCAGCAGAGTAAGTGGCAGGTGTGTCTAAGTGATTGCTGCGTTGGGACCTGTTTCCAGGGGTCTGCGATAGAACCCAGGCTTGGAGTTCAGAGCATTCTAGATGAGCCTGCTATGCCTCCAGGAGGAAACCAGCGCCCCAGAACGTGGCACACAGCTCTCTTGTGAATAGCCACCAACAAGATGAAAGCCTCTGCGACCCTTCTAGACCCACCCGGGTCTCAGGTTTTGACATGCCAGCCTTACCCACTTTGGTTTCGATAAAGAGGGGTCCTTTCTGCTTTCTGTCATGGGTGAGCCTGTCTGGTCAGGTTCTTGGAGGCTTGTGCTAGGGCAGTTCTCACGGTGTAAGCCTATGTCTTCCTCAGACTTGCCTCTCCAGCCCCATGGGCATCACAAGCACCCGACGGTGACTTGTGCTTGAAGAGGTGCCCCTTCCTGCCCACCTGGTGAAGAGGGAAGGAGGGGACCCGGGTCCAGGGCCGCTGGAGGGGAAGAGGTGTTCCCAGCATTGCTCATGCTCTGGGCCCCATTTCATGCAGCTAACTGGTCTAAGAGGTCTATTGTTTTGAAATCTGACTCCTATTTAAACAATTATGATCGTAGTCCTCTGATTCTAGCACTGAAATAGCTATTATTAAGATCCTAATCTACGAAAGAGAGGAAAAAATACAGGTGTCTATTTTTGTATGTTTAAAGAGAGGGCAGGGGTGTGGTTCTAAGTCATGTTAAGCAGAAACAGGAGGTTGAGGGGAGGCAGCCTGGACGAGAGAAAGGGAAGGCCTGGCGGGGGCTAGGGGGCGTTGACTTTCTGTCCCAACTGTCCCATCTGCAGGCCTGTGACCTGCTTCTGCATGAGCCACCCTGTCCTGTCCCTTCGGCTTGTTTCGTCATTAGTCAATGGGAGATTGCAAGACCTACCTCAGAGGCTCGTTGTGAGGATTAAATCAGATAATGCACGCGAACGTTTCTCGCCAGCTCCCAAGCGCTGTATAATTATTAGCTGTGACGATCAGTTTGAGAAACTGGCTTTCATAACGAGCCGCTCAATTAAGCTGCATCCTCCCTGCTGGCTGGGAGAGGCACGCAGGGCCCACGCGCGAGGGGTCTTGCCCTTGTTCGTGTCCTGATCCTTTCTTCTCAGAAGCACTTGCGCCCAGACAGGTTTTGAGTGTTGGAGCAGGACGCGCCACTGGTGAAGGGACCCGGGAAAAGAATGGGGAAGGCTTTGGTCCAGGACCTGGGGGTCAGGGGAGCAGAGCGGCCGAAGGGGGAAAAAGAGGGCTTGGCCTGTAAGTTGCCAGAAGGTTCGGTGCCGGGGACTCTCCACACAGTTCCCAAGCCGTGTTCCCCACCAAGTGGAGCCACAGGGGTGTGCTGGGAAGCTGTTGTCTCTGAGCCAGTTTCCATGAGCAGAAGGGGCTCGGGGGCATTGCGGGAAATGATGGAGAAACCCAGTGTGCATCTCACCTGTCAGCCACTCATTGTAAGCAAGCAAGCATGCCTAGGGGAGAGCAGCCCAGCGCCTTCTGTGGGCATGGGCTGAGCAGTCTCTGTCATAGCACGAGCCCCTGGCTCTCATTTGCACAGTCAAAGAAAGACCTGGGGCCCCTTGACTCTTTCTGTCACGCAGGTGTGCAAATTCCAGACCGTTCTGGGAAAGGGCTCCCTTGGAGCTGGTACCCAGAATGGCTTAGGTGCCCCACAGGCTGTGGAGCTCAGGAAATCTGCCCAGAGTTCAGGGAACAGGACTAGAGGACAGTGAGGCTCTTCCATTTCCTTCTTTACTAGTTTTTTTTTTTTTTTTTAAGATTTTATTTATTCATTTTACAGACCGAGATCACAAGTAGGCAGAGAGAGAGGGAAGCAGGCTTGCCACCAAGCAGGGAGACTGATGCGGGGCTCGATCCCAGGACCCTGGGACCACAACCTGAGCCGAAGGCAGAGGCTTTAACCCACTGAGCCACCCAGGCGCCCCCTCTTTACTAGTTTCCTTCCGTGCTTTCGACTCCCAGTGGATCTCGCTCCCTCACGTCCTTTCCCAGATGCAGTGAACAGAAGATAACTGATAACAGTTTCTTGACACCAGCTAGCTACGGGCTCCGCACCAATGCTGGCTGGAAAGTCCTCTCAGAACCTTAGAGGGGGTGGACCTCGTCATTTTCCCCATGGTTCGGAGGAGCCAGCTGAGGCACGGGCGGGTACGGTGACCTATCCAGGGTCACACACAATCAGCAGGGACACCGAGAGGCGAACCAAGCAGCCTGACTTCAAAGCCAGTGCTGGGCCAGACAGACTCTTTGAGGACAGACCCCCCGCATATGCAGGGGCTGCAGAGAACGTGGGGTTTGGGTTTCTTCTAGTCGTGCTGGTAGCCTTCTGATTCTGAATGTTCAGCTCCTGTAGACTGTGGTGGCAGATGGCTTAACGTGGGTGGGGAGGTGGGATCTTGGGATTTTATCAGAGTCGCCCAGCTCCTGGGTGAAATGTGAAATCGGTTGAGAGCCAGGAACTCTGTTTAATCCTCGCCCGCATTAGCCCGATGAGACTTCACCTAAGTGGTTAATGGGCGAAGTGGGTCAATCCAGCTTTAGCGTAAGCCTGGGATGGCCCTGCTGCTGCCAGGCCGGCTTCCTTAAGGAAAAGACCTCTTCCTCTAACTTGCTGTGAAGGGGTGCTCTCCCCCAGCGTGCGGCCCCGTTCTGGCGCCCGCGATAGAACTTTATATCATCATTTCCATAAACGGGCGCAAGAGAAGAGTTGTGGTCTCTCAGATTAGGGGTGGCCCGAAGCTGGAAGTTGTAGGGTGTCCCACTGAGAGGTAAATCTTTGGTCGGACATGATGCAGAAATGGTCTTTTTTAAAAAATTCACAGGCCCATATAGGAAGCCGTCAGAAATCGCTGTCCCAGAGCTAATGGAAGATGGTACATCCGTGACCGAAACTTCATCTCCCATGAGTTAACACATCCCCTTGCCTTTTCATGTACACATGGGTGCCCAACTTTGTCCTACCAGGTGCTGTAAACGGGCTCGAACACTGTAATGCTGGTAACGATCGTCATCGTAGGGTAGCCAGTGAATGTCAGTTACAGACCGCGCATCAGGCGTGTTCCGAGCGTACTACGATCGTTAATCGTTCTCCTCCTCATTAAACTTCCACGAGGGAGGTACCATCCCACTCATCTTTACAAAGGACGAAGAGAAATGCACAGAGAGGTTAAGAAAGGTATTGAAGGTAACACAGCTTCGCTGCAGCAACACCGGGATTTGAACCCAGGCGGTCTGATGTCTGAGCTTGCTTCCCTTAGCTTTTAGGGCTGAACGGCTCTGGCTTTATGAATCATGAAGTAGGTGGACGCTCTTCCCGTTTCCCGTGTTAGAAGGCTCAAGTTCAGAGAGCAGACGAGGCACGGTGGTCCACCCGCCATTGGTGTTAATGTCTTTGCTCACTTCCGCCACAAAACGGCTTCCTGGCGTGGGGCTCATGGGCCGCATCTCCCATCGGTCCTAACGGTATTATCCACATCCTTTGGCTTACGTGAATGCAATGATAGAGATCATACAAGTCTTTTTTTTTTTTTTTTTAAATGGAATCTACAGTATTTCTGGAAGCTTCTAGAGTTGGGTCTTGGGGATTTCCTCTTGGCAGGTTTGTATCGGGTTAGCTTCCGTCTGATTCCACCTGGTTTTGGTGGCCTTTGAGCGTGCTTTTCGTGGTAAAGGCTTTTTGTCAGTGGTCACTGTGTTGACGCTGGTCTGGCATGGCTGGGTGGGGGAGGGGGGACATCTTCCTTCCTGTCCCCAACGCATGTGGGCCCAGGCTTGGTGAGCTCAGGCTAGCAAGGACCCGTGGGCAGCAGAGTCTCTGGGAGTCCCAGGTGTTGCTGTTGAGGAAGGGCACATAGCCAGAGGCCAAGGACCTTGTGTTCTGACACTGGCTGTTTGGGGGAGTGTAAATGCTGGATAGCCGGGAAAAATAAGGGAGAGGTGGCCCCCGGGGGAGGATTCAGAGCAACTCCTGTCCCACTGTTTCTACCCTGGAGGAAGCTGCCTACCAACTTCACAGAGATAGTATCTGGCCTCCAAGCTTCGGATGGGATGTTCACACACCTTTCAGTTCTGAAATTCCTTTTCCATATTTTCACCTTCCTAGCACTGTTCCCTGTAATTAGAGGGAACCAGGATGAACAGTGTTGCCGTGGACACATGTGGCCAAAGAGGTACCTCCTTCTGAGCTGACTTTGCTCTGCTTGCTTTCCCCAGGGACCTGATGCCGAGGACCCTGGAGGGCCAGATCACCATGGAGAAGACCCCCAGTTACTTCGTCACCCGCGAAGCGCCCGCGCGCATCTCGGCCATGTCCAGGGACACCAAGCTCATCGTGGTGGTGCGGGACCCGGTGACCCGCGCCATCTCGGACTACACGCAGACGCTGTCCAAGCGGCCCGACATCCCCACCTTCGAGAGCCTGACGTTCAAGAACCGCACGACGGGCCTCATCGACACGTCGTGGAGCGCCATCCAGATCGGCATCTACGCCAAGCACCTGGAGCACTGGCTGCGCCACTTCCCCATCCGCCAGATGCTCTTCGTGAGCGGCGAGCGGCTCATCAGCGACCCGGCCGGCGAGCTGGGCCGCGTGCAGGACTTCCTGGGCCTCAAGAGGATCATCACGGACAAGCACTTCTACTTCAACAAGACCAAGGGCTTCCCCTGCCTCAAGAAGGCCGAGGGCAGCAGCAAGCCCCACTGCCTGGGCAAGACCAAGGGCAGGACCCACCCTGAGATCGACCGCGAGGTGGTGCGCAGGCTGCGCGAGTTCTACCGGCCGTTCAACCTGAAGTTCTACCAGATGACCGGCCAGGACTTCGGCTGGGATTGAGCAGACCCTGGGGCTTTGTGACTTAACCACATGGTTTATGTATCGAGAGAGATTATATGTATGTAAAATGTACAGAAATCTATTTTATAATAATTTATTTTTAATTCATAAGCAATTAACTCACTAAGCTGCCTAGCCACACTCTTTAGAGAGTTATTAGCTGCATAATCTGTTAACATTCCAAAGTGTTGAATCTCTTCTTTTCCTCACAATGGATGGTGCTTCTGGTTTTGTTTTTTTTTCTCCCCCTCTCCCCACCCATTTTATTTAAAAAGAAGAAAAGCACAACTTGAGATTTTTGTTGTTACGGGTATGCAGCCTTCAATCGCTGTCTGAATTCACTTGCCATCTCTTTGTGTCTTGGGTCTCGTGGTCCAGCTTCTGTTCCTCCCTCCCTGTCCGTGCATACCTCGTAGGAGCCCCCAGCTTCAGCAGCGCGGCTCCCTCAAGGTCACGATTCACGTGACAGCCTCTTACCCGTGTGTTGACATTTCCAAGGACGTAGAGGCCAGACCACAGCACTAGGCTTTTCCCCCCAAGTCTGTTCAGTTTGTAGGTTGGGGGCGGGGAGTTACTACCTTTGCAGGGACACACGCCTCCTCTCTGGAGTCTGCGTCCCAGGGTCCTTTCACTTCAGCTTATGATTTTGAAATATGGCCCTGCGTCCTCTTCTGTCCCGGTCCCTGGTTCATGAAGCAGCTTGAAGCGTATGCAGATTTTATAGCCTCTCTTTCCCAGGTCATGTGTGTGAGATGCTTGTGTGCTGCTTTAGAACTAAAGACGGTCTCTCATTTGCACGAATGCACCATGCTCGGCCCTCTAGGCAGACAGTTCTGCTCTGACACACCAAAGAATCCCCTAGGCTAGCAGAACCATCGGCATAAACCCACGGGTGGCGTGTGTCAAGACCCTGGGGGGATCAGGTGCATCCTATGCCCTCAGAGCCCCACCCCCAAGGTGCTGCTGGGTGCTGAGCCAGCCCACGTGGGGCACATCCCAGTAGATGGACCACCTCAGTGGGGAGAAAAGACAAACAGCACCAAAAGGACAGGTGGCCTGGCAGAAGAAGTGAATCCCTGGCCCCCTCCTTGGTGTCTGGAACTCACCTCCTTGGAATTCCTAGCTCATCACAGATTGACAACACAGTCTGTAGCCAACAGCCAGACGGCGAGCACCAAGAGTGGCTCTTGCACAGACAGGCTGGGGAAAGAATGTTGTTGCCTGGCGGCTGCCGAGCTTAACAGTTATACAGATGTCCCTGTTTGAGCTAGGTCCCAGCAGGAAGGGTCACCAGGCAGCATTGCTGCTGATGATGGAGAAGGTTCTCCCCATCCCTCTCTGTTGAGAGAGCAGTTGGAGATTATTTGTAACGGCTAGCTTGTGGCCGTCGGGTTCACCATATAGCAATATCACAGAATGAACACGTTCGCTTTACCCTGTTTTCTAAACCAGAATGCTTCTACCATAGAAGAATTTTCGTTTGAGTTAGAGCTGCACCAAGGCTTCTGTGGGAAGAGACACACAGTGTCCGAATGGTTGGGGTTTGATGTTGATGAAGACCCTTTTGTATGTTGGATGGGCTAGAACTTGCGCTGTAGAGCAAGAGAACTCGTATGAAAAGAGAAATAATTCCTCTTCAGAGATTGATCACGGCATCACTGGTCCTTGGGTGATGTCTTGTTTGGTGATTGGTTTGTATTCGCCTACAAGTTTGAGCTCAGATCTAGCTAGCTCATACTGAGCTACAGAACAGTCAGGATCATCATGTTGGTTCTGGGCAGGAGGAAGGGCATGGGGGCTCCAGTGCGTTACTCCTCAGATGCTCTGTTCATTTCAGAGCTTAGTGACTGCCTCTACTAAGTAGTGCAAAAGCTGCATTTAGGGGAATGCCATAATCCCCGCATGGTTCTCCCTCCTTGTTGCTTGGGCGTCGAGACATCTGCATAAGGGTGCTAATGGGTTGTGCGTTTTTCCGGTCAGAAAGCCTGCTTATTCGTAATGAAGTGGAGAATGCCTCTTTCCATTTACAACGTAACATCGCTTAAAGTAAAAGCCAGGATCCACGACCTCCACGGAACCCTGCCCTGACCACCTTCTGGCCACGTTCGTGCCCTGATAACGGCTCATAATGTATAGCATTGCAGAAAAAGTGCAGGGAAGGATATGAGACAAGGCAGTAGGAAAACACGCATGCATTTTTCCTTCCCCTTCGGGTCCCTGTCGTCTTTCCAAGCTGGACAGTTTTGATTAAGTTGTTTATCCTCTGCCTTACAACTGAAACAGGAAATCTCCGGATAGAAGGAGGGTCACTGAGTCATGAACATTGAAGTGAGTCAGGATTCTATTCTGGGTCAAATCCTCAAATCCAAACAGATGTTGATAATTAACAAGGATGGACTAGAGCACGTTTTCCTATAGAAGATAAATAAATTATTGCTTCCACGCATCTCTTCATAGGGGTCTGATAGCTTACAGTTCCCAACCCAACCAGACGTGGCATCTGTCCCACAGTTACACCCCATCGTGTGATAGTTATCATAGAGCCTGGGCCCACATGTCTTCCTCCTACAATTAGCCTTGAGTTTCTTCCTGTTCTAACAATCTCCAAGGCCACCCACTCAAGTTCTTAGCTGCTAGAAGACAGACAGCAGTTCATGTTGTCCTTTTCCCTGGGCACATTTTGGATTTTTTCCAGTTTACAGGGAAAGCTTTGATAATTCATTGGCGGTACTTTATTCCTCTCCGTTTCATTTGCTCGTTAAAAACAAAAAGGTTAACAACAACCACAAAAAGAAATTGGAGGTGTTTATGGTCCCTTTCTACTCCATGCTTGCTTTGAGGTGTTTGTGCTGTAGTCTGGTTAATGTGGGAGGTGGTACCTGGAAAGGTATTTAGGTATAGTGACTAAATAATAAATACTTGGATGACGGAGAAAGAGACATTGTCTTTTCATGGGATTCTCTTTGGAAGTCATTTTGAGTGACAGATACGTTTTAGGCTTTTGGAGAAACAGTTTCAGATCCTGCCAGGGTATTTACATAAGAAAGGAAAATGGAAGGTTCCAGTAGACTAGAAATACTTAGCGTGTTATCTCAAACGCTGACACAGACGTCCGTGTCATTTTTCTTTTTCAGTTTCTCAAGAAGGATGGTCAATTAAACTGAAAGGTGTGGTTAGATTTTTTTTTTCACTTTTGTAACATTAATTTATGACTGAGTTCATTCAGCCCAGTAATCTGAAATACGGTGGAGATTCTAGCCGTATGTCTTCTATAACCTGGTTGTTAGAATAGCCAATATGTACAAAAAAAAATTAAAACAAGTATTTTGTCCTATGTATAACACAAAGTAATTTTACACAGAGAAAGATGTTTCTAGGGGGAAAAAATTCTGTTAATTCATACTATTTCTTTGTATGAAAAAATAAAATCTATTTTACCAACTTGCGGGTGCTTTCATGTTTTATTGTGTGTTGCGGATGGACAGGGGAGTGGGGTTTGATTCCGTAACTGATCCCGTGAATGCATTCTGAGGGCAGGCTGGTCTTGCAGATTTCAAAATGTAACTAACCTGCAAATGTGTGTGGCAGTTGTTTGGAAACGATTCTGAAGGCTGTGAGATGAGTGGGAAGGCCCCTGCCCCTTGGAGAAACATGCATAGGACTTCAAGGACAGACCCCAAAGCCACCATGTCCCTCGGGCTTCCCTGTGTGGGGGCAGCCTACAAGTATGATGAAGCAGAACTTTAACAGCTGGGCGATTTGGAGGATGGTAGCATCCCTTCTCATGTACACAGTTGTATGGAAATCCTTATCCTTGACACAGCTGAAAAGTGTTGAGACAAAAAACAATGTTTCCATATCCTTAACTCACAGCAAGAGAGACCTTTTGTTTCTTTTGATGGGACGTGCCGTCTGTAGGATGATTATTACATTTGATTCAGTCTTGTATTTCCCTTAATTTTTTTTCAATTTTCCATTGAGGTATTCCTATTATTATTTATTTTTAATTTTTTTATTTTTTTAAACCTCTAGTTGAGGTTTAGAGTAGCTGACACCAAATTGATAAATCAAGACTCAAACCCGAGAGTTCTGACTTTATATGTGTGTGTGTATATATATAAAGATTTCACGTATGTAATTGAGAAAGGGAAAGGGAGAACCAGACTCCCTTCTGAGCAGAGAGCCAGATGCGGGGCTCGATCCCAGGACCCTGAGATCATGACCTGAGCTGAAGGCAGAGGCTTAAACTGAGCCACCCATGTGCCCCTTCTTTTTATTTTTCAAACCACTCTATTGAGGTAGGATTGGCTTAGAAAAAGTGTACATATTTAATGTATATAACCTGATGCATTTCGTGGTGTTTACTCATAAATCATCACCACTATCAATGCCACAAATATATCCACCCATTCCAAAAGTTTCCTCCTGCCACTTCATTTTTTATGTGATAAGAACATTTCACCTAAGATCCACCCTTTCAGCAAATTTTTTTTAAAGATTTTATTTATTTGAGGAAGAGAGTGAGAAGAGAGCACGAGAGGGGAGAAGGTCAGAGGGAGAAGCAGTGTAGCTGGGAGCCTGATGCGGGAATTGATCCCAGGACTCCGGGATTGTGACCTGAGCCAAAGGCAGTTGCTTAATCGACTGAGCTATGCAGGCACCCTCTTAGCAAACTTTTAAGGATTAAGTATAGTGTTATAAATTATAGCTACTATGGTACACAATTGTCCTGGGACTTAATTCATTCTATGTAACTAAAACTGATTTTACTTTATTTTTACATCAGTATTCATAGCAAATTTTTTATTATTATCACATAATGTATTATTTGTTTCAGGGGTACAGGTCTGTGATTCATCAGCCTTACACAAGCACAGCACTCACTAGCTAGCACATACCCTCCCCAATGTCCATCGTCCATCCACCCTATTCCGACCCCCCACTCCCCTCCCCTCCAGCACCCCTCAGTTGGTTTCCTGAGATGAAGAGTCTCTTACGTGATTTTACTTAATTTAAAAAGGGAATATATTACAATCTTAGGTGAAAAGTCATTATTGCTTGCCATAAAGAGGACTTCAAGTCAAAAAAAGTAAATACAAAGAAAATAAATCCATGCTAGTAATTTCTAGCTAGCTCTAACTCAAGCCAGGTTTGCCATAGGCTCTCACACACTGCTCCTGACAAGGGTCACCCCTCGCAAAGACCAGCATTTAGCAAATTAGCATCTTGCTTTGAAGGGTGGAGAAGAATTGAAGAGGGTATGAGTTACCCAATGTTACTTGGTGTTGAGTCCATGAATGCCTAAAATGGGAGCTACTCCCCCTCCCTGCCCCCCACCACCAAAATCCTCTCTGGCAGCGCTCTGGGTTTTCTCACACTTTGGAAAACACTGATTCACACCAAGAAAATGTCTTGCAC